ATGTGAGTAACAAGTTCAAGGGAAAAGCTAGGAGTAGCTTGGGCTGAAATGCCCTTATCTTTTCAAAATTACAGTAATAAATACGATATTTGAATGAGAAGAAATTACAGAATCATAATGTGCTATATTACATAGGACAGAGTCACTGTACTCTTAATGAATTTTGCATTTTTTCTTGAGATAAGGGAGATGAAATGCAAGAGCAGAAATCATTTGTCTTGAAAGGAGATATAAAGTATACCCAAACCATCTCTACGTACAATCTTATCAGTCGGTTTCATGGCCACTTGCCACTCTCAGATGCTCTTAATACATTGTATACCAAAGGCAATACTGCTGACATGGAGTTCTGCAACTGCCAAATTGCATATTCATTATTGTTCATAGTCATGTGAGGTCGAGTTCGGTCACTGCAAACAAAGAACCTTTGTCTGGATCTTTACTCCCTCCTCACGCAGTTTTTGGTTTCCTAACTTTTGTAGCACTCCCCGGGTTGAAAGTTTCTTTTTAAAGTGGATGCTGTGTACTCTTTTGAAAACATGTCTCCATTACTAAAAGTGACATCATGGGAATCGCTGGAAGCGAGCTGGGAGCACAGACCCAGGGTAGAGGCGATGTAAAAAGAAGTTCCCCTCGTCCTTTCTCCTTCCTCCGCCCCACAGCATTGTCTAGCAAACAGGTACTTTGTTGCACTCAGTTGGAAGCATCATGAGGAATTTAAACATAGGAAGGACTAACCGTTATTTTAGAAAAACCCGAGTCCTGCCAGCTCTTTCTCTTTTGCAGGCTACTATGCGCGATGTGGTCAGCAGCTTATTCACACAAAGCCAGGGTTCTGCTGTTTTGCCATCATATGCAAATTACCTCCCTGGACTCATTGGCACGGCAAACACCTCGGTTTAAGAAGTTTAAAAAGATGGATTGCAAAACTTAGGCATGCTCCCGCTCCTACTGAGATCAGTGGCGAGCCTCCCATTGACTTCAATGGAAGCAGGATAGAGTCTCTCTTTTCTGGAAGCGAGACCCAGCGGTATTTGAGCTTTTTGGAGCACATGCAGCTCTGAAAGTCTGCTCCTTTAGGGCATTCCAAAATTTTTCCCATTTGCTTGATTCCATGGCAACACAACATCACCACCAAGCTCTCAATACTGAAATGAGATTTTACTACTAAGCCTGAGGATTTATACAAGTGTATCCTGTAAAAAGATCTTGCTGAGCTGCAATTGCCGTTGGACTAATTCTGCATCCTTTTCAGACGAGTGACAAAATTACCTCTGGATTTATTATACAATAAGCCAAGAATTTTCTAAGGTGATAAAAACAAGAAAACTGCTTTACAATCATACCAGAAACAATTCTGGTTTTTTTTTTGATTAAACAGAATCACTATGTTTGAGTAAAACACTGTATCTATTTACTATTCTTTTCAAAACAGTCTAGAGAATAACCTAAGCAGTTTTCTCACAAATGATATTAAAATCAGACTCTAGAGACTGTATAAAATGATGATAAAGCCACTGAGGCTTTTTTTCTGATTTCTGTATTACTTCTATCACAGAAATAACTATTTTGCAACCTGAAAAATATACCAGTGTAAAAGCGTGCAAGGAAAATCATGCCAAAAGATCCGTATTAGATTCTGAACGTACTACAGTTCATCTTTTATAGAGGGAAGCAAAGCAGACAAGCTTGCTTTACACTCAGTGCCTGAGAGTTTGCTCTGAGTTACATTATAGCATGCTGAAACTGAGTGCACTGTTTGATCCCCTATTTTTATGTGTGGAAGGGGAAAAAAAATCAAAGTGATTCCATACCTAGAGAAGGTAAAGTTGTGTGTAAGCAATATCAATGGTCCTTTAGAATGTAAAGTACCTACTAAGAAGTTCCCAAGTAACAATACCAATGCAGTGGAGCAATGAAATTATTAGACAACACTAATAAGATTTTTAACTGCCTTACATTTCATGCATTTTCTTAGACTCTAGGTGTAACCACTCATTGCCATCTCTGTTATATTCAGTTTTCATGTAATCCAGTTGTTGAATCATCTCCTCCAATGTGATTTCTGAGATAAATCTGCCACTTTAGTCACAGCTCTGGCTTCCCCCATTGCACGCAGTCTTGCACAGACAGACCCATCCTGGAAGCAATGATCAGGATGTGGGCGGCAGCATTATATTGGGACTTTGACTACTGCTGTGATCTGCTCTTTATGCAAAGAGAGTTTTAAAAATACATGATGTAATACTGGATTTCACTTTTCTGAGTGGAGTTCGGAGTTTGCCCTTCTGATGCATCCGATGCACCTAAGACAAACTCCACGCAATCTTGAGTGTGGGATGTGGCCCTGCTGACCGGCTGGGCCACAGGATCGGAGACAGACATCTCCTCCTCTGGCCTCCGCAACTCTGCCAAGTCAATGAGATGCTCATTACGCAAGCGAAGCTGAGATGAGGATGTAATAACTGAGATCACACAAATCTGACAGTAGCACTGTGACTCCCCGTTGGTGAAACCCCTGTGTGTATTCCTTCCATATAGATGGCCTCCTGGGCTAGGCTCTGATTAACGAAGCAGTTACAAATCCACTTGGCTGCAGCAGACCCAGATGAAAGCAGAATCTGCCCCCTTCCCGGCTGACCTTCAGCGAATCAATTCAAGAAAAAGTTGATATCAAGTCAAAAGCTTTGTTATAAAGCTGGACAGTTACGGGCTTGTCTTTCAGAAGTGGCCAGAGATTCTGGCTATGTCGCTTTTCAAGACCAAAACTTGAAAGTGGGTGTTTGGCACTCTTCCAACCAACTCTCCTTCACCAGAACTGACACAGACAACCACTAATCAAATTTGAAATTCTTGGCCCAGATTATGAGAAAACTGGGAGGAAACTTTAGTATGTGAATGTGCTGTAAGAAATACAATTAGAGATTGTCTTTTCTCTATACAAAATGTTATGCCCTAGAAAATGGTGCTTTGCTATACACAAATGCTGCACTGTATATTATGCAGAAATTCAACTTTTTATGAGTTGTACACTTCACTAGATCACATCTTATTGTATTTTTTTGTTTTGAAAAGTAGATGTGTTCTATTCCAAAGTCCACCTTGCAACAAAAGAGAGTATCTTTTCTTGCGAAAGGGTGAGAATTCAGATTCAAAATCTCTTCTGACCCATAAACTGCAGAATGCTCTTCGTAAAGTATCGGCTCTAACACCCCAATGATATTCCCTCAGCTGTGGGAAGTAGGGCAACTCACATATGCAAGTAGCAGTTTGGGTTTTTGCCTATCACATCTTAGGCATTTTCTTCTATGTGTGAAAAGCATTTGTAATTCTTACTTAACAATTCTCATTTGTAATAAATTCAAAATGACATCTAGAAGTGAGACCTCTAGAAGGAGAATACCTCCTTGGGTTCCTTAAATTTGTAAGCAGAATATTTGCATTAGCATAATATGATGTATTTTGTCACTTTATTCCTGTATTGCACTGTTCTGAATAACCGTGAAGACTCAGACATTCAAAGAAGAAATGTAGGTGCTAGCCTTTCCATAGGTCTGTAACTCAACTTAGAAAAGCTATCTTTAAATAGCCCAAGACTGCCAAAGCCAAAAAATACTCTCAGTCCATGTTTGTTTATATGCAGCAATCTCAACCAACATTTACTTTTGCACTCAGTAAAAGGCAAACTGGCACTGCTGCAAGGCCAGGTAGGCCGATCGATACCTGTCCCGAATTTTCTGCAATTGTTCTCATTTCAACAGCAACTCAGTTGCAGCTCAGAGTTGCTGTAAACCCGCATAAACACGATTTTACATAACTTTTCCAGTGTTTTTCTTTTTAGCAGCTCTGATTTGAGAGCAAAATAACCGTTAGTCACTTCTATCGCCAGAAGGAGAGGGCGGGGGAGGCGGTTTGGTGGTGAAAACAGCTGTTTAACGATGCCCCTGCATCTGCGGTGGCTGCAGGCGGTGACACCCGGCACCGAGGCGGAGAGGCCGCGCTGGGCTGCCGTTCAACGCTGGGGCGGCCGGAGCTGCTCGGGGCAGCGCTGGTGCCGGCGTGGGGACGGGCACCGCAGCGGGTGCGCGGGGGTGTAAAGGCGT